ACTTCCATTTCATGGCATCTACCTAACTGTTTAAGACAAAGAATCAGAAACGTTAACTGGTTACCGTAGTAAACCGACGTTTCGGGAACAAACCCTGAAGATGGGGACAGAGTTTGTTCCTGAAACGTCGGTTTACTACGATAACAATCAGCTGCATTAACTGGTTACCGTAGTACACCGACGTTTCGGGAACAAATTCAATAAAATCTTCTCGGGCAATCAGCCGCGTTAACGTGGCTGATTGCCCCAAAATATTTTATTGATGCAGTATTATTATTGACATGACCAAAGGATATGTTTATGAACAGTTTGTAACGGTCCAAATTACATCTTCTGCTGAGGTAATTTCATCATACTATTTCGTTTTTTTATTATTTTATTAAGCTGAACTTCTTTTAAGGTTTCGTTTCAAAATTTTAACTTCTTGTACTGTTTGGAGTGTGATACTGTGATGGATACTTCCATTTCATGGCATCTACCTAACTGTTTAAGACAAAGACGTGGGAGGACCTTCGGTTCCCGGAAGTCTTGGTTTTGACACTAAAGGGCAATAAATTGTCGTGAATTGGGTGTAGTCCCAAGTGTCACACTTTGACATTTATGGCTGCCGCTGCTTTTGAATGTTTCGAACCAGGGGCAAGACGTTTACAGAATTGCGTCAATTTTAACACTCTTCAACAAACTTTGGACGTGAAGTGTTCTGTTTCCTGACCAGGCGGTTAGCTACAACTTTTCGGTGAGTACCTTTCCTGTTCTATATTTTCTATTTATATTGATTTGTCTTTTAAATGTACATTATCATAGTTTTATTAATTTTTTTAGTGCCAACAATGGAGTTTTCAAGGAGTCAGAAGGGCAACAAAGTTTTGTCTTACTTGGGTTTTGAATATCTGTCTTTTCGCACTACAAATGGAGTGCTGACTTGGAGATGCAGGCAGTGTCACTTTGTAAAGTGTCATTCAATTATGAAGACAAAAGATGGCAACATAGTACAACCACAAACTGAACATTGTCATGATTCATGTCCTCAAAAAGCAGAAGCCAACATTGCCAAAAGCAAAATGAGGCAAGACATGAGAGTAGTTAGTGCTACCCCTCGCAATGTGATGGGGAATGTATTGTCAGGGCTGAGTAACGATGTACTGGCCCATATGCCCAAACAATCATCCCTTGCAAGAAATCTTCTAAATCACCGAACAGACGGCCATTTG